AAAAAAAAAAAAAAAAAAAAGTTGCTGATATAGACCCATATATTCTAGATACTAGATTTAAATCTAGTTCAAGTTTTTCAGGGCCAGGATTTTAGCTCCGTGGTGCAGCTCCTACCTGGCAAGCGTGAGGGGCCGATTTCGATTCCCGATACCCGCCTCCTCCCAAAAAAAAAAGTTTCTCAGATTACTCTCAAACGCAAAAACCGGTCAAGAACTCTGTTTACTGTCTGGGGAGATTTCTGCAGAGAAAGTTGCTCAAGGGTAAGTGATAGGATGAAGCATATGCACCCAGTTGTATACAGGGACACACATACACTCACATCAGTGTGTGCACACCATGCACTTGCACACCCACGGGTGTGAGTGCACACACGAGCAAACCCCCCTCGGGTATGTGTGCGTATGTGCACAGAATACTTGGCTCATAGTTGGTGCATACATGTGTTAAGTATTTTAGTTGTAATGAAACAAAACTGGCAACCAAAAGGAGATAACGTTATAATTGATACTGTTTATCCTTAGCATTTGAGATCTTTGTGTTCTGAATACCAGCTTCTTTTTCTTTAGAAAGAAAAGTTTGCTGATGCTTCGGAGGAGGCTGTCTCTGTTCAGAGAAATACGCAAGGTAAGTCTGATGAAAGTGAGCAAAGCCGTCTTTTCACTGCAGTGGGCCGGGAGCAGTGCTCCTGTAGTCTGATCGCACTGTCCTGGGAGTCCTGCAGTGCCCATGCATGCTGGCTTCTGTGGGCCTCTAGAGGCTCAAACTCCCGATTCTTCTTTCTGACTTAAAGCATATACTGTATTAGAATGTAAGTATTCCTGAGAAAAGTATTATTTAAGCTTTTGCCATGGATGGCTTTATTGAGTTTTTAAAACAATTTTAAGAAAAAGGGACCTTCTTATGTAGTTCAGGCTGGTCTTGAACTCTCGGTGATCCTCTTGCCTCAGCCTCACAAGTGCTGGTATTGCATTTGTGGCCGCCACCCTGCCACCCCCCCAGATGCTTTATTGAGTTTGAATTCAAAAGAAGAGAGGCTGGGCGTGGTTGCACATGCCTGGAGGCTGAGGCAGGAGGATCTTTAGAGACCTGCCTGTGCCACAAAATGAGCTCAAGACCAGCCTGAACTGCATAGCAAGACCTTTTCTCAAAAAGACCAAAAAAAAGAGAGAAAGGAAGGAAAAGGAAGAAAGGAAGGAACGGAGAGAGGGAGGAGAGAAGAGATGTGTGGCAGACAAAGGCTGACCTGGTGCCTGCCTGCTGCAAAGGAGAGGGGAGGTGTGGAGAGCTGCAGGCTCGCTTCCTGTCAGGCAGCGGTGTGGCTCAGTGTGGGACCGCTCCTGCTCCTGTGCTCTCACCTCCCACAGCGTATGATTCGATTGGGCTGTAAAACGCCAAGATCTGGTCAGCTTATTAAATACGAAACACATTAAACTTTTAAATTTTATCCTAAATAGAAACTGTGAATAAGTTACGCCAAAAGGAGAAAGAGTTTGACCAGCTGTCCTCTGAACTGGAGACCCTGAGAGGAAATTTAGCAGGTAAGGCGCTGTCTGTGGTGACGCATGATTAAATGTACTAGTTTTCCTAGGGGTTGAGACGTCGTCTTACGTTACAACAGCGCATTTACTGTTCATGTGTAGCCTCTTCGTTACGGTGACAGAACATGGTGAAGTACTCGTTTGAGAGCTTAACCTCCGCAAGTCCTCTTTGATCTGTTTTCATTGTTCAAAAGCACTGGAGCCTACCGTGCGCCCACTAACCCTGTCCAGAGCCCGCGCAGCCCTCAGCGAGCAGCCGGAGCGGCACCGCGCGTGCTCCCCGCCGCCGCCCTCGCCTCCTCCAGCCCTTCGCGGCACAGTGCCTTTCACAGGAAGGCCCATCCTGTCGCTTCTCGGCTAGGTGGACATCTTTCCCTGAGTGACAGCCGCGGCCCCACCCCACCAGAACATCGTCTCAGGCTCTCCTTCCTCTGGCGCATTCTGCCCCAGTCACTCATCAGGCCTCTTGCTGCCTGGGTGTCTTGTACTGCCTTCCCCGCTCTGCCTTCACATCTTTGCTTAAATGGCGCCATCTCAGAGGGGCCCCGTCAAGAGTTTTAACCTCCCCCTTTCCTTTCTAGTTCTTTCTCAGCTTTCCGTTTTTCCTCTCTCAGCACTTTTCTCTACCTGTTACATTATTATTTTCTTTTCTAGTTTGGTTTATTTATTTATTTTTTTGTGCCAGGAATCAAACTCAAGACCTTGCACTTGCCAGGCAGGTGCTGTATCACTGAGCTATATCCCTGGCCCCCAGTTTTGTTTTTTTGATAGAGTCTTACTGTGCAGTTCAGACTGCCTCGAACTCACTGTGTAGCCCAGAGTGACCTCAAAGTCAAGGTGACCTTCCTGTCTCAGCCTTGAATGTTGGGTTTACAGGCGTGCGCCAGACTCCTGTTCTGTTCTTTTTCCTGTTTGTTGTTTGTTGTCTTGGCTAGCATGTGTGATTATCATGAGGACAGGCATTGCTGTATGCAAGTGATCCTCGTGCAAGGATGCATTCTGAGGGCTGGGGATGTAGCTCAGCGGCATAGCACCTGCCTGATAAGTGCAAAGTCCTGTGTTCGATTCCACATACCAAAAAAAAAAAGATGCATTCTGTACATTTTTCTTACTCTTAACACAATGCCATTTTTCCCTATATATATTCAGATATGGAGGCAAAATTTAGAGAGAGAGATGAAAAAGAAGAGTACTTGCTAAAGGCAAAGGAAAAATTGGAAAATGACATTGCTGAGATAATGAAGATGTCAGGAGATCATTCTCGGCTAACAAAAATGAATGATGAATTACGTCTGAAAGAAAGGTATGCACGAGGAGAGTCAGTGGAGGAGTGTCCGCTTTGCGTTTGGCTCTGCAGCATGGTCTAGGTGGGGAGTGGGCAGACAAGAGCGGAGGGTTGTGTGTTACAGCTTCCCCTCCCTGCTGCATTTCGTGTCTGTGGGTGAGTGTGTGCACACTCACTGGGGACTGAAGTAAAGGCCGCACACGTGCTCGGTAAGTGTCTACCCCTGAGCTGCACTGCAGTCCTCTGTCCCTTTCTAACAGGACCTTAGTGTGTCTTTAATCAGCTGTGTAATGTTTTCAAAAGGTGTCGTCTACTTCACTTGTGAAGAAGTGTGGATTTAAATAACACAGTGTTCTTTCTATGCCTCTTGGTGAGTTGTAAAGAAGAGGCAGTCATTCACCCCAGGGATAGTTACACCTTTTGCAAGTAATTAAAGATATTTTGACTCACTTCACTGTGATGATAGGTTGCACCCTCTTTGAGGGCTTCCTGTGTGCCGTGCCCTGTGCCACTAGCTTATATGAGTATATTTTCTAATTCTCATAACCCTATGAGGTGAGTGCTGTATGACATTATTTCTGTTATGAAAGAGAAGAAACTGAGGCTTGCTGGGGCTGAGTAACTTGTCTGAGATTTGGGTCTGAGCCCTCTGATCCCTGAGCTGTTGATACTCTTAACTATGTCGTGCTTCCTCGATGTTAAAACTTCTTTTATCTTAATATCTGTTCTTGTCTTTATTCTGATGTTCTCATTGGCTTTGAATTTTTTTTATGGCTGTCGATAAAAATTTTTGTTTTATGAGGCAAAACATTTTAGAACATTAAGAGTCATTAGAATTCTATTTCTCAGACTGTTAGTGCTTGTCACATTTACATTCAGGCATTCGTCCACACAGTTGAGAGAGGGTGGGTGGTTGGTGAGCAGGCCAGGATGGCTGCTTTGGGTGGGCTTGCTGTGGTCATGCGTGGCCGCACAGATGTGTGTGCAGGGTCTCCAGGGGGCTCCCACTTGGGAGGTGTTATGTAGAGAAAACCAGAGCTGCCCTGCACGTTTCCCTCCTGCATTCGCTGATGCATCTGGTACCCCATTTTCTAGGTTAATGTCTGTGTTTTCTGTACATCTTTCTCCAGCTATATGATTCTCTTTAAGAACTTCAAGTATTAATTTTAACTTTCACATTTTCTTTTTCCAAGAAGCACTTGAATGAGCTTTTGGTAATCTTCACCTGCTAAAGTTTTGAAACTTTCTTTCTTTCCTTGAACTTGCTTTGTGGTCCAGGCTGGCCTTGAACTTGTGACCCTTCTGCCTTGGACCCCCAGTTTGAAACTCATTTTCTTTAATCTGCTTATTGGTCACTCATTTTTTTAATTAAGCTATTAACATACAGTAATTTGTTATTCTCTCAGTGTATTTGTATAGTGATCCCAGTTGTTAACATTGTTCCTCAGGTGTGTCATTTTTTTTATTGGTTTATTTTACATGTCATTGATTACTCAAATTTTATAATAATGAGTATAACTGTTACTAATGTTTTTCATATAATTCTTAAATGTAAAACATTCTTATGAAAACTCTGACACCTTGCATTGAAACTGGCAGATGTGTAGAAGAATTACGGCTACAGCTTACAAAGGCTAATGAAAACGCAAGTGCTCTGCAGAGAAGTATTGGGGAGATAACTCTTAAAGCCGAGCAGAGCCAGCAGGAAACAGCCAGAAAGCACGAGGAAGAAAAGAAAGTACTGGAGAAGAAATTGCTGGACCTGGTAAGGGAAGAATACATGGCTCTGTCCGGGCAGGGAGGGCAGAGAGGGGCCCAGACGGCCAGACGGCTGACTTCTTCCTTGGGATTTCCGCAGGAAAAGGAGATGGAAACGAGCCACAAGGAGCGTCAGGGTCTGAAAGCCAGGTACGAAAAGGACAGTTCCCCGACAAAAACACAGCACGAAGAAACCCTGCAGAACCTGCAGAAGACGCTGCTGGACACAGAGAAGAAGCTGAAGGCTGTCCAAGAGGAGAATAGAGGCTTGGTGCAGGAGCTGGAAGAGCTGCAGATGCAGGCCGACAAAGCCAAAGTACGTTTGGGCAGAGCCGAGCAGCCGCACTGTGGCTGTTCTAGTTGAGCACAGAGGGGCAGCAGCATATGGGACGCACTGCGTGATCCTCCTGAGCCCCGGCCTCTGCCTCCACAACAGGGCGGTGAACTGTATTTCCTGTGGCTTCAGGTGTTTTGTACCAGCTGCTCTTGCTTTTTGGGGCCAGTGATGGCTGCAGGTCTTCCCTGAGTGTCCTGTGTAGCCATCACCCCCCCTGTGCTGCTTGTGCCTGGTTGTCACAAAGCCTCTTAGTTGCCTGAGCTCTGTCTCCCTGCTTGTAGTAGACTGTGGTGTGAGAAAGCATTTTCTGCTCATCTTGGCTGAGCTGTGCCACCTTGCCACGAGGGTTAGGAGAGACAAGCTGCATCACAGCCAGAGGCCAAGGCCACGGCCAGCAACAAGTGGGAGTCAGTGAGGGAGCTCCCTGGATGGACAGAGCTCTGACAGGAAGGGTTAGAAGTCAGAACAGAGGCTTTTCTGTGTTCCCAGGGAGGCTCAGTGAGCTGACTGACCAGGAAGCCAAGTTCAAGGAGGTGAGGAGCTCACATCCAATCAGTGAAGAGAGTATCATTTGGTACATTGAACTTCAGCTTATAGTGTCAGGCTTGTGTCTGCATCCCAGTATATTATTTGGCTGTAGTAACTTAATGAAATTCAACTGTCCTACTACTATTTAACTTTTTATTGCTCAAATAAAAATACTTTTCTTTATTTTTAATATGTTAGAGAAGTATTTATTTAGGAGTTTAGTACAAAGAAATTGTAAAGAACTTGAAACCAATCCACTAAAAATCTATAGCCAAATGGTAGAATGCTTGCCTAGTATACCGAAGACCCTGGGTTTAATGTCTGGTACCACAAAAAGCAAATTAACCAAAATAACAGCTTCCTGTTAATTAAGTGGACCATGACCTAATATATATCAAATGTAGCTCAACGTGGTGGTGCATGCCTGTAATTCCAGCACTTGGGAGGCTGAGGCAGGAGGATTACCACAAATTTGAGGCCAGCCTGGATTACATAGACCCTGTCTCAATAACAGCAACAGTAAACTGAATAAGTAAATAAAATCCTTCTATGAATCTTTTCTATGATAGAAATAATTGGCTAATTGGAATGGCAGGGGAGAATTTTATACCCTTTGTTAAAATCAAGTTACTGGGTTTTTTGTTTTTTGAGATGGGGTCTTGCTGGGTGGCCCAGGTTAGCTTGAACTCTCAACCCTTCCACCTCAGCCTCCTGAGCAGCTGATACTACAAGCCAGCAGCACTGTGCCTCGCTTGGGGCTGCTCTTCTTACCTTCTGGGGAGCTCCAGGGACAAATCCACATGCTGCTCAAAGGCATAACTGGCCAGCAGATGTTAAGCACTTTGCAGAGCCTACCCCTTCATAGGCTCTGTTTCTCTAGTCTCCTGTTGTTCACTTGAAGTCTCTATGAAATTTACTGTAGGAAATTTTAAACTTCCAAGAGTAGGCTACATGAAGTTATTTGGGCTTGCATTTGTGTGCTTGATTTCATTTTCGTTTCCATTCTTTCCATCTTCTGTTTCTGTAGTCGCTAACTTACTTGTTAACATCAGCCAAAAGAGAAATTGAACTAATGTCAGAAGAGCTGAGGGGTCTGAAATCAGAGAAGCAGCTTCTCGCACAGGAGGGAAATACTTTAAAGGTAGAAAAAGGCTCACTTTTAACAAAGCTTGTTGAAGTGGAGACCAAAATAACTTTGCTTCAGCAAGATCAGCAGAAACTATGGTCAGTAAACAAAACTCTTAATTTAGAGAAGGAGAAAGCCTTAGAAGAGAAGGAAGCTACTGAAAAGCTTTGCCAGCAGGAACAGCTTGATAAAGAAGCTTTGGATAAAGAGAGAACAAAATTGCTTAATGAAATCAATGTTGCCCAGGAAGAGCTCTTGAAGATACATGTGGAAAACAGTTCTTTACAAACTTCCACAGCAAGCATGCAGGTGCTCATCGATGAGCTCCGGCTCTGCAAAGACACTCTGATGGTGGAAGCCGAGAGGGCCCGGGCAGAAAAGGGCCGCCTGGAGGATCAGGTGAAGAAGCTCACTGCTGAAAACCTCGGCTTGGTGAAAGACAAGGATGATGTCATCCAGAAGCTTCAGAGCGCTTATGAGGAGCTTGTTAAAGATCAGAGGGCCTTGGTCCAGGAGATTGAGGCACTCACAGCTGAAAAAGTGGCAGCGGCCGAGAAGCAATCAGGCCTCGACACAGCATTCCGGGCCCTAACAGCAGAACGAGAGAGCCTTCTCCTGAGCAACAGAGACTTGCAGTTTGAGAAGGACTCACTGCGTCAAGATCAGGAAAAGCTGAGTGCCAGCCTGGAGGCCACCCTGCAGGTCAAACAGCTGCTCGGCACAGAAACTGGGGTGCTGCGCACGCAGCTGGACTGCGCCAGCAAAGCGCTGAGGAAGGCCGAGCTGGAGACCAGGCAGCTGCAGACCACCAACATGAGCCTCTCGCAGCTCCTGGAAGAGATCAAGGCCAGCCGGGCTGTCACGGACTCAGAGTGCATTCAGCTTCTCTATGAGAGAGAGACTTGGGCCGCCTCCGAGAGGAGGCTCCTGGCTGAGAAGGAGGAACTTTTGAGTGAAAATAGGATCATCTCAGAAAAACTTAACAAGCAATCGCAGGAGGCCACCCAAATTGAGATAAGCTTGAATGAGAAGATCACACACCTAACGTCTGAGAAGGAGGTGGCTTGTCAGAAAATTACTCAGCTTAAAAAGCAGCAAGAAAGTCTCTTAAAAGAAAAATCAGGATTGGAAATACAAAATGGGGATTTACTTGCAGAGAGAGACAATTCCATCAAAGCCATAGGAGAATTTAAGAGGAAATATGACCAAGAGGCTGCAAGCAGAAGAATACTTGTGCACGAGAAGATGAAACTACTTAGTGATGTTGATGCTCTCAAGAAGGAGATTGAGGCGAAGGAGAAGGAAAACCAAGCGCTAGCGGCCAGCAAGTGTGACCTCTCTTTGATGCTGAAAGAGACGCAGAATGCCAAAAGGAATCTTGAGAAAGAGCACACCACTGTGATGCAGGCAAAGGAGAACCTGAACGCTGAGCTGAAGACGTGTTGCTGTGAGAAGAGCATTTTGCTGAGGGACGGCTTGAGCCTGCAAGAGGAGTGTCAGAAATTAAACGAGGAGCTCCATGAAACGCAGCAGGCCTTAGTCGTGGAAAAAGAAGCCAGAGCAAAGGAAAAAGAATCGTCCTTGTATGAAAACAATAAACTGCACGGGAGACTGGTGGTCCTGGAGCAGGAGGTGGAGGGGTTAAGAGTATGTACCGAGCAGCTGCAGTCTGAGAAGTTTGTGCTCATCCAAGAAAAGACCAAGTCCGAGCAGAAGGTGGTGGAGATTATCAAGGAAAAGGAGCTCTTGAGTGCAGAAACAGCTGAACTCGCTGCCAAGATAGAGACCCTGAAAAATGATTTTGCCACCTTGTCCAAGTCGAAGCTGGAGCTGCAGGAACTGCACAGCTGCCTCACCAAGATCCTGGACGACCTCCAGCTGAAGCACGAGGTGACTGTGGCCGAGAGAGCCAAGGTCATGCAAGACAACAAGAACCTCCTGGCTGAGAAAAGAGAAATGATGCTGAGAAGGGAGGAGCTCTTGAAGGAGAAGGAAAAGCTGGAAGAAAGCTACTTCATCCTCCAGAAAGAGATTAGCCAGCTGGCCAAAACCAACAGCCACATTTCAGCCAATCTCCTAGAATCTCAAAATGAAAACCGTACTTTGAGGAAAGACAAGAGCAAACTTACCCATAAAATTAGAGAGCTTGAGACTCTTCATTCATTCACGGTAAAGTGAGCGGTGTTGAGCACCTGGATTACGTACTAACCCTGTGCACTAATGTTAGTGGCTTATGTGATTTTCCTTCATTGCGTTTACAAGGGTCCATCCCACTAGATAAGTTGTTCGTGTGTCTCAGCTGTTCATTACAGTCAGAAAGGCAGTTCTTTACTAAATGTCTAATTGCGGTAGTCTCTGTCCACTTGGAAAGCATTGAAGACTGTGAATAAAAAGGATTATTACTAGTTTATGGAGAAACTTCATGAGAAAGTTAACTGTAGGTCTTAAAGGCTTAACAGCAACAGTAGAATTGAAATATAGCATCCGCTCTTTGGCTTTTAACTGTCTGATTGGGTCTGTCTGTTTGGAGTCGGAAGATTCCACTGAAATCTCCACGAATAGAGTAAGCCTAATGCAAAATTCCCATAAATTTTTTTAGAGCGAATGAAATTGTAATCATGTACCTAAGACGATTTTGTTTTTGTGATTATTTTCGATGCTTAGCAGCTAAGGATTTGTCTTCAGAGGCATACATCTTTTTTATTCACAGTCAGGGTTATATTCATTACCCAGTTTCCCTTAGACCTTTCCATTAAATGCTTCTCATGAAACATTGCAGTTTTATGTTATAGTTGCCCAAATAATTATTTATGTGAAGAATTCCCAGTTTAAATGAAGTGATGACAAAGGTTTCAGATTTCAAATAGCAAAGGCAGTATTTCACACTTACATTGGGAAAGGGGATTAAGAGAAATCCAGCTCCCTCAGGGTGTTGCTCTTCACTGTCACCGAGTGTTATCTCTCCAGTGTGGGTGGGAATGGTGAGAGCATGGCTGTCGGGGTAACTCGGGACTGCCATCGGAACGTGTGGGTTTAGAGGGCTCTGGAGAGGTGGAAGTTGTGTAATAGTTCACTTACTGAAAAGTGGCCAAGCAAGGGTCTGAGACTGTGCTGCACGTCAGGGGACAGACCCTTGCGCTCTTGCTCCTGGGCTTCAGCGCCGGGCTGGTGGCTGTCTCACGCCTGTGCGCCTCTCTCGGCCGCACAGACCGTGCGCTGCCCAAGCAGCAGGGCCTGAGTTTCGCCTGGTGGTGTCAGGCAGGCCTTGCTCCCTCCTCACTGTGTCTTCTTGTGTTTAGGCGGCTCAGACTGCAGAAGATGCCATGCAGATAATGGAACAGATGACCAAGGAGAAGACCGAGACTCTGGCCTCCTTAGAGGACTCGAAGCAAACAAATGCGAAACTGCAGAACGAAGTAATTAGCTTTAAATGGCTTTTTGTACAGAGAACAGCTTATCGGAGGTGCCATGGAGTATTTGGTCACTAACTCAGGATTATGTATTTTTTTGAAGTGTGGCCTTACACAGTTTGGGTCCGTGTGGTAGAGTCACACTTATACCAGAGCCATATGTTAAATAAAGCATATTACTTCGTTACTTACTTAGCGGAATCGATTTTTTTTGAGATAGGGTCTCCCTACGTAGTTCAGGCTGGCCTTGAACTTGCGGTAGCTCTCCTGCCTTAGCCCTTCAAATGCTGAGACGACAGGTGTGTGCCACGACACCCAGCGCAGAATCAACTTTTATCAGTCGCTGCGGAAACCCTAGCAGTGTGGCTCTCTGAGGTAACTCCGTAGTGAAGGTGCTGGTGAGAGGAGGTGGTGATGGAGTTCCCTTCTTTTCCTGTCCCGCATCTTACATACTTCCTTCAACTCTGTTTCAACTCGGAGCCGCTAAATTACAATGTGGGTTTAGAGGGCTCCAGCTTATATTTTCGGCCTAGTTCAGTGTGTCATCTCAAATTAGCCACTTCTGGAGCTGGGGCAAATGTGTGGCATCAAGGTATTTTGATTCTGTCCAGAAGTAGCATTTCTCCTTCCTGCACCCCTCTTTGATTCCCCTGTTCACACCCTCCCACCTCATACCAACCTTCATTTCCTTGGAAAGCTGTTACATGAATCCCTTGCAGACTGATTTGCCGGAGTTAGTGTGTGAAATTCGTCACTTCAGGTGCTTTGTAGAGTCACAGGTAGGTGAGGTGTTAAGGAGGTAAAGCAGGGGAGGGGATGGCTGAATGGATAGCTACCACAGAGACTCTGCCTCCTCACCGTGCAAGGCCAGAGATGGAGATCTCTGAAGATTCGGACGGTCTGAGGTAATTGTAGGGTAAACAAACATTACTTATAAAACCGACAAGCTAAAAATATAAAAGCAACACAGAAATCACAGGTGTTAAGCACAATTAGAAATTTGGAGTAAATGACAACGTTGTAAGGAACATCTCTAACCTTTGAGGGTGGATCAGGGAGAAGTGTGTCCTCCTGTAATGTATCCCTTGGTGTATCCATTGTAGTCAACATACAAGGGTAGATGAATTTTTTGATAGTTTGTTTCTCTTGTTCCTTAAATCTGGAATATTAGAAGGCATTAAAAGGAAGGTGGTGGAGGTTAGCAGGACACTTTGTGGAATTCTTGGCGGGGGATGTGTGACGTGGCAAAGGGAAAAAACTGCCTTTCTTGGCTATGGGAGACAAGGACTAAAGGTCTAAAGAGTCATCCTTGCCCCAGGAGCATGTCCTATGTCCTGATTGGCTGTATGAACCCCCATCCTTGTTGGGGACCCCACACTCAAAATCTGGAGCCTCCCGGTGGCCCATCCCAGTCACACGCCTGCTTTCTCACACGGGGCTCAAGCCCTAACCAAAAGCGCCTTCGCTTTCGCGGCACAGCTTCTTTCTCTTCAGGTGAAAGCCCAAGTGGGTGGCTTAAAATTTCCCAATCTACAAATATTTTGATTCAAATAAGTATTTATAATGAGTGTGTAAACTCAGTACTGACATTGGAAAGTTTCCTGCATTGCTAATCTATGGTGAAAGAAGAAGGTTTCGTTTTATTTATTTATTTATTTTTTGGTTTTTCTCCGGTACCAGGAACCAAACTCACGACCTTGCGCTTGCCAGGCAGGCGCTTTGCCGCTGAGCTAAATCCCCAGCCCCAGAGGTTTCGTTTTATTACACAGAATAATCCTTGCTGATGTCACTGTAACTCTTACTTTTTAAAGATGGATCATATATGAATAGCAAGCTCTTGATAAATAATGATAATTGTGTATAAGGTGGGGGGCTGGGGATTTAGCTCAGCGGCACAGTGCCTGCCTGGCAAGTGCAAGGTCATGAGTTTGATTCCCAGTACCGGGGATGGGGGGATTGTGTATAAGGTGAAAGAAAAAATTTAAATTTATGTAGCAGTTTAGTTTGACATTTTGGCCAGGTGTGCAAGGAATTTACTAAACATAAGGGGCTATTTGCAGTTTATAATAGATTTGTCATTTGTAATTTCCTTACTCAAGAGACACTTATTTTAGCAGATGACTCATTTTATCTATTTTTTACACACATATTTTGGTGAATAATTTGTCTGTCCAGCCATGCCATTGGAAGATGAAATTGCTTCATCAGTGTTTTCCTTTTGGTCTTTAAGTTGGACACACTCAAAGAGAACAACTTGAAAAATATGGAGGAGCTGAACAAATCCAAAGAACTTCTGACTGTAGAGAATCAGAAAATGGAAGAATTCAGGAAAGAAATGTAAGTTTATCTCCTCTGAGAGAAATTATGAAACTTTTTAAGTTGCAAAAGTGCAAATAATTATTTTAAGAATAATTTGAGGGGCTGGGGATTTAGCTCAGCGGCACAGCCCCCACCTGGCAAGCACAAGGTTGTGAGTTCGATTCCTGGTACCAGAAAAAAAACCAAAAAAAAAAAATTTGAAAAGTACAATAAAGCAAAAAGAAGAAGTTACCTTTCTGTACCCCAAACACTACTGTATTGCCCCGAAGCATCTCAATAACCACCGTTAAGAAGGAACTACAGCTAGAGCAAAGCGGGGAAGGGGACTGTGTGCTGGCTGATGACTGTACTTTGTAAAGCTGTGAGGTTTAAAGTAGTATGTTTACCTGAGAACCAATCTGAACATTAGAACCCTCAGACCTTTTGTTAAAAATCCCTCAAAACTATTTTCTGTAGGGGAAGAAAGAAACATGTCACTTTCAGGACTTTGAATACTTTGATCTTAACAGTAATGAGATTGGGGCTAAGGGTATAGCTCAGCGGCACAGTGCCTGGCTGGCAAGCGCGAGGTCCTGAGTTCGATTCCCAGTTCCAAAAAAGAGACTAATGAGCTCTTCTGACACGGAAATTAAATGACCAGCATTTTCCAAGACTCTCTCGGATTGACCCATCAGTCTGCTACTCAGTTCAGGCAAACAATTCATGTTTCTTTTTTGGATGCCAATTTAGCCCTCTCCTTTCAGAGGGCTGTAGCTACTGTCATTGTCAAAGGTTGGTGTTTATGTGGCTTTTTTTTTTTTTTTTTTTTTTTTTGAGACAAGATCTTGCAGTGCAGGCTGCTCTTGAACTCATTTATATAGCCCAGGCTGGCCTCAAACTCACAGCGATCCTCCTGCCTCAGCCTCCCAAGTGCTGGTATTACACACATCCACCACCACACCCAGCATTTATGTGGCATTTTAAGTGATGATTACAGTGTAGATTTCATTTGGTTGTTTATTCAGTAACTTCACTGTATCAATCACATGAACCTGAAAATCTAAAGCCAGTTAATCTGGTGAACGTGTAGGTATGTGTGTCCCTCTCACTAGGTACAATTTGGCTGGATGGGTACACAGGTAAATCTGTGGTCCTTACCTTTCAAAGGTTTACATCATTATTTCTAATTTTAATAAAACATGAGATTGGAACAGAAAGCCATCAGTTCCAAGCTGCTGTTCCTAAGTAGCATCATCAGTCCCGTGTGTTTATCTGACTAGATTAAATTAGTGTGTGTCTTTCTCTTCTGAGAGTTCCTCAGACTCTTGTGGGAATGGCTGCTCTGAGTTACTCACTTGAGGAGGGGCCGGGAACAGGCTGTTGGTGACTGGCTCCCCCTTCAGTCTCGGCGTTAATGGTCCCATCCCACTGTGACGTCTCAGCGGCTCCCATCAGTTCCTTCTGCACGAACTTACAAACGCACAGTGTGGCCATGGCCACCGGGGGGAATCTTAAATCTCCTTGGGTGTCGGGTATGGCGGTGCATGGCTGTCATCCCAGCGCTTGGGACCCTCCGCTGAGGAGGATCGCCACACGTTCAAGGCCAGTCTGAGCTACATAGCGAGACCCTGTCTCAACACACAAATAACCCTATTTGGCCTGCCAAAGCCAAATAATACAAATAAATAATTGGTCACTGTGGCAGAAAAAGCAAACTCAACTGTAGGAATATAACCATTTTGTTCAATTCAAATAGGGTGGGTCCAGTTACAGCTTAGGATACCCACTCCCCCATTAGTACTTCTCTGACCCTGAGCTGTGTGGGTTGTAGTTCTTTTGTTGTACAGGCAGCTGGAGATGAGGATGTGAGCAGCAGAAGAGTCTCACCAACCTCCCGCTGCCGCAACCCCGCTCCTGGGCTTTCTGGGCTACACTAGGAAATGAAGGGGCCAGGGCCTGGAGTAGAGGAGCGCTCTTGGGGCTTAGGTCACGTTCCAAGCAATACTACGGAGGAGTCTCACTGCGTCAGTCTAGCCTGAGATCACCCCTGCAGTGGTCATAGTCCTCACCAAATCCTGGTATGTCACCTGCCCGTGAGTGTGGGGTTGGTCTCATCCCCCTTAAGAGGTTATCAGGCCAGAGGTACAGTGCACTGATAGAGCACTTGCCGAACAGGCGTGAGGCCTTGGGTTCCCCTCCCAGCACCTCCCAGAAAGGCAGAGAACTGTCTTCGTGCCCTTTCCTACCATTATTCCAGTGACGAGCCGAAGTTTACTTCCTGCAGTAGAAGCACGGGCCTGGGAGTGAGGTTGACCCCACTTGCCGTCACAGTCACAGCGGCTGTGGTCCTTAGTTCTGCTCCTTGGTTCTCACAGCTGCGTGCTTTGCTGTGGTTCTCGGCGTGTGCGGGGCTCCTCACACCCTCAGGTGTGGTGGCGGTTCTCGTCACCCTTGTGGTTCCTGGAGGAGAGGAACTGGGAGGGACCGGGTTCTCCTAGGAGCTCCCCTCGGCGCTGGAGGCCGGCCCTTGCCTCCGCCGCCCTTTCTCTCTGTGCTGCTCACTAGGTGGGGCTTAGGAAAGGCCTTGCTTTTGAGTCGCCAGCTCCTATTTTCAACTCAAGCATCGTAATAAAGCGCTTTCTCACTCGTCTTTGGTGTTGGGGAGTTTGTTTTTCTTTTTGTTTCAGTTTTTTGAAACATGGTCTCACTATGTGGTCCAGGCTGATCTTGAACTCAAAGCAAGCCTCCTCCCTCTGCCTCCCAAATTCTGGGATGAGAGGCATGCACTATATGAGGCTCTCAGTTTTTAAACTACAGAATCTTCGTGGTTTCGAGACACCTTGTCACATAGAGAGGATCAGCGGTTTTTTTAAATGGTTGGAAATGTTTTCTTGGTGTTTTGAACAGTGGAGTGTCTTTCTTTCATGAAATGCACGTCCCCATGGCCCCCGGGAGATGAGCTGAACCGTGCCCGTGTGTTAGAATCATAGCTGCAGTCCACCTGCCCGTTGTGACTTCGGCTCTTTGGTTCTACCGCTTACTGACTTTATGATTTGGGGAAAATCTTCTCTGAGCTTCAGTTTTCTCATCTTAAAACAAATAATAACAATAGCCTCCCTGTGCTTTGAGGATTAAATGAAAAAAATGTACTTGAAATCATTTGGTATATTTTAAAACAGCGAATAGCATTTTCATAGATCAATACTTAAAGACATTCTGGCTGTTTTTAGATTACTTGAGTTCTCATTTTAATTTTCCTTACTACGGACTCTTAATATAAACCAAGAGTTTAAAAATTTGAAAAGAGCTGGGCGTGGTGGCACTTGCCTTTAATCCCAGGACTCAGGGGGGCTGAGGCAGGAGAATGGCTGTGAGGTTAAGGACAGCCTGAACTGCGTCGTGAGACCTCGTGTCAAAGAAAACAAAACAAAGCAAAAAACATCGTTCCAGAACAAAACCTTGAAAGGATAAAAGTTGTTTAGAAGGAAAGAAGAGGAACACAAACATCCCTCTGTCAGGCCACACAAGTGCTCAGACCAGTTAGCCCCGTGAAGGCAGGGACCGTGTGAAGGGCATTTGGCTGATGATGACTGCTAAGTATTTGTCATGGAATGATGGACTTTTGCAAGGAAGTAACTTTAGCTGTGGGGGGTGTTTAGAGCGAGCTGTAGATGTATAATGAAAATCATGACTTTTTCCAATAGCTAATTATCTGAGCCTGGTACCCCTTCTCCCCTTTTTCTTTATTTGCTAAATAAACACGTCTGTAAAAAGCCTAGTTGAGAGTGCTAAGAGAGGTATTAGAGATTTATCCCCCCAAATCTCCATGCGGTCATCATAGTATGCACATTAGAGGCAGGTGGAGAATTAAAAATTTGAGAAAATTGAAGCTGCCAAGCCCTGTCACCCATTAGACAATTGAAGTTAAAAATAGATACTGTTCATGCCTCAGCAGATGGATTCATACCGATGACTGGATTCAGAATTCAGCCACATATGACAGCTTGTGGAGTGGAGTTTAACCAGCACAGACTTACTTAAAATTCATAATTGCATCAAAACCTGCTATGGCATAACACTAAAATCCATGATCAAGTAAAATATTTTGAATACCCATGTGTAAAGAATAATAATATAGAATGTGTGTTTTGGATTAATTTTAATAATGGGAAGTATTTATAAATTCATGTATGTGTTCATATTTTATATGTTGATGCTCATATAATGATATAGATTAGGAGGCTACATTATATTTGTGTTTGCTTCTTTTTATTATAAATTAGCAATGTGGAAAGAATGCCATGAAAATAGAACACCTACTATTTAATTAGAAGACCTTTTTGGGGGCATTTCGACTCACATCAGCAGCTGGCTCTGACAGACATGGTAAATGGAACCACGGGACTTCTATTTCTGTAAAGCAGATGATAGATCTGTGCAGCTAGAGCAGTGCCTCGGCAGCAGATCACATCACTTTATCGAAGTGGTAGCTTTTAGTGTAATTGTCTAGATGGAAGTATTCGTGAAGGCAGGAGCGCTTACTGACCGTCTCATTTGTCATTTACTTCATAGCAGAAGTCTTTTCTGTGTGGAGTGTGTGGGGGTGGTAAGAGGATGGGGACAGTGTTCGTTAGGTTTTTAAAAATGTAACGATTGTGGGTGGCCATCCTCCTTTTGAGAGGGCAAAGCCATGTGGCCCCTCCTGTCTGCCGATGACACTGTCTCCTGCTGTTACAGACCCCGTGGGACACGTGACCAGATCTGTTTTCCTGTGCTGTGAAGCTGGCGTCTCCCACAGCTTCCTTGCCTGTCTTGTTTCTATGGTAACCCTGTGCTCACTGTCCTTGCAGAGAAACCCTAAAGCAGGCGGCAGCTCAGAAGTCGCAGCAGCTTTCGGCATTGCAGGAAGAGAACGACAAACTTGCCGAGGAGCTAGGGAGAAGCAGGGACGAGGTCACAAGTCATCAAAAGGTCAGTGGACCTTTCGAGGGGGTTTCTAGATCTGCCTGCTGATGTCTGCTGCTGTTTGTGGTGCATCCTGAAGCAACTCGGAAATCTCAGCATGGGTCATTCCAAATGAGATTGCAAGTCACCTGCATTGTGTTTAGGCACGCTTTGTTTTTGAGTGTGCTCTTGTGGAATTTAGGGCACGAGTGAACTGACAAGTCCACTTCAAAAAAAAAAAAATCGCTGGATCTTGCAAGCAAGTGGGAAAAAGTTTGTATTGGTGATCTTATAGCAGTGCATTTAATGGAAAGGGTCAGTGTTTTCCTACTACTATTTGGATTTCAAATTCTTTTTCCTTGAGATTTTTTTTGTCTTACCAAAACTAGCTTTAAGGAAATAGATTCTATGCTATGGATTTGTTACGAGGGTTCATAGTTGATTTTAAATAGAACTCCTTTTCTTTAAAGTCAAAAAATGTTTAAGCCTTTCCCAGTGGAACTGTGAGTGTACGGTATGTGCACTCGTGTGCATGGGAGTGAACGGAATGTGGGTTACAGCCGGAGGGCACCACAACCCATTCGTTTCTATATTTACTTACTTATTTATTTTTTTGGTTTCTATATTCAAATTGCAGAGGCCTCTGACAGAAGTTGGTTAAACACAGGACATGCATTGTACAGGGCACTGTATTCTGCTTTGTGTTCCTAACACTGAATCAGAGTGCTGAATTGTTAGTCACGTCTGACCCAGAGCAGCAGCTTGGAAGGATGTTCTGGAGACTTTTGCTGTGTGTTCATTCACGCTTCTGTATACTGCCATGGGAACAGTGATTTTCCCCATGGTACTGTACCTTGCAGATGTTAACTGTCACTTGGGATGGAGGGGTTTGGGCTCCCTGGATTGAGTACTTATTGACATGGTGCAATTTGCAGTGAAAGCACTTTTTGTAGAGTTGATTTCAGGCTTTAAAATCTTGTTACAGCTTTCCACAGTTTTCTCATTTCATGAGAGAAGTGCCACGTCTCTCCACACTCCACGATGGTCGTGGTACTGTTGCTGGTAGTAGCTAATGTATGGGCTCACTGTTTGGCAGGTACAGTGAAATGACAGCTATCATCTTAATCCTTACCGCAATTCTATTAATCTACTATTATCCTCATTTGTAAAAGAAAAAGTGGAACCACAGAGAAGATAGTCATTTGGTCAGCATCCCCTGGCAAGTAGAGTCAAGAGTTGTTTGCTGTCTTCTGACTAGGGCTGGAAAAGAATCAACACTTGTTGACGTACTAGGGTCACTGCATTCACCTTTGATCAGTGTCTTAGTTACCTTCCTCTCATTGCAGAGACAAAATACCCAACAGCCAAAGTTAAAGGGGAAGGTTTATGTAGCTCACAGTTTGTAAAGGTTTCAGTCCATCATCAGCTGGCACCAAGGCAGGGTGGCTGAGCAGAGCAGGATCGCAGGGAAGGACCAGTTCACGGCAAGCAGAAGACAGCAAGAGCAAGCAAGGGAGAAGACAAGCCTCCCTCAGTCCTTGTATTGTACCCGGCGACCAGGACAGGGCAGTGCCAGACCAACCAGTGTAGTGATTTAGTCATCACACACCCTTGATCCCAGCATCACACACTCTAGATCCAGCCACCACTGAAAAGCCCCACCTATGACCACATGAGGCTTTGGGGGGACATCTGGACGCAAGCCATAACAGTTAGCATGGGAACAAATGGAGTTCATGAGAAACGGAAGCTTTTTGACCTGAAGAGGTTCTTTTTTTCCTGGCACTAGCTGCAGCTGTAAACATTCGGCATCCCCAAACTCAGTGTGTCCACTACGGCTTGGAATGCAAGGATTTCAGCCAAGTGCTGAGTCTGTTCCCTTCTTTTTTCCTCCTGTCACTGGACATCTCTGGTGGGAAGGGTGGATCCTGTGCTTGGAAGACCCCAAGATCTCCTGCTCATGCTGTGACCTCAACTCATGATTATAGTTCTTGTCTGTCTCACTCGGAGCCAGAAGCAGCTTCGGAGGCCTCATGTCTCTGGGCAGCTCTGCATCCTAGTAGCTCTGTTCCCTTCACAAGAGGGACTTCGACTGACTGACTTCTGAAGGGGTTGGTAGAGAAATAGTACCTGCAAGGAACAGCTAAAAAGGTCACTGCCTTACCTGGTGTGGCGGATCATGCCTATAATCCCAGCACTGGGGAGGCTGAGGCAGGAGATCACTTGAGTTCAAGGCCAGCTTGGGCTACCTAGTGAGATCCTGTCACAAAAAAACAAAAAAAGTGACTACCTTTTAAAGAATGGGATGGTGGTTCTACCATTTGTCATTTTTTGTTTTTTACTTAAAAATGACAAGTGAGTGCTAACTGAAACATGAAAGCTTGGGTTGATGGGGACGGGTAAAAGCGCTGAACACCTGGGTGTGGTGGGCACGCCCGCCCGTAGTCCTAGCGCTCAGGAGGTCGAGGCAGGAGGGTAGCAAGTTTGAGTAGAGCCTGGGTGACTCAGTGACTTTGCGGGGGGGGTGGGGGTGGTTTTTCTGTTTTTGCTTTTGTTTTTTTGGGACAGGGTCTCTCTGTGTAGTTCAGACTGGCCTTGGACTGTGTAGCCCAGGCTGGCCTCGAACTTGAAGCAATCCTGCCATATCTGCCTCCTGAGTATTAGGATTACAAGTGTGCCTCAGGGGGGCTGGAGATTTAGCTCAGCGGCACAGCGCCTGCCTGGCAAGTGCAAGGTCGTGAGTTCAATTCCTGGTACCAGAAAAAAAAAAAAAAGTGTGCCCCAGGCCTGACAACTTAATGACTTTGTGAGAACCTATCTCGAAATTTAAAAAGGAAAGAAAAGAAAAATAAGAGCTGGGGCTATAGCTCAATATGAAGACTCCCAGTGCAGTCACCAGTAATAAATAAATAAAACCTAGATCCAATCTAAGGCTTTATGGAAGACTGATTAATTCATCAGGCTTCATTGCTCATATTGTATCTAGAATCTAGAATGCTGTTTCCTTTTGTAAAATTATGAATTTTCACTTAGCTATTTCCTGCACTTAAGTCATACTATTGATCAGCTCTGTTAGAAATACATTACAGAGCTGCAGTATAACAGAAACGCTGTTTAGCTTTGGATAAAAGTTATTTTTTAGTGATAGTAGTTGCTGTTTCTCATTAGAAACTTCATTTGAGCCCAGGCATGGTGGCGCATGCCTGTAATCCTCACATTTGGGAGGCTGAGGCAGGAGGATCCATCCCCATGAGTTCAAAGCCAGCCTGTACTAAACAGTGAGTTAGAGGCCACCTGAACTGCATAGCAGGGTGGGGAGGAGGGACCTCATTTGACCTGACTACCAAGAGCAGCATGTGAGCGAGGCGCCCTGACAGGGATGAGGGGTTCTGTTTGCTCGTGGCTGGGGGAAGGAGCTGGCCAAACCAAAAACATAGCCCGTGTGTGCGCAGCTTGTGTTGCTTGCTCTCTGTGTCAGACATCTCTGTCCAGCTAAAAGCCTTTCTTAAGTCTCCTTTCTGAGGTTAGAGTTTGCATTTTAAAAGAGAAAAGAGGCAACAGCCAAGATCAGTTAGGACTTGGAACAGCAGAAGGGTTTGATTTACCTAGCATCAACAGTGACAGGAGTTTTAGTGAAACATCATATATAGCAGGAGGAGTGGTGGCTCTGCCTTTAATCTCAACACTTGGGGAGGCTGAGGTAGGAGGGTTGCAAATTCAAGCCCAGCCTGAGCAATTCAGTGAATTAAGAAGACCCTGTGTCTAAATAAAAATTAAAGACAGACTAGGAGTGTAGCTCAGTGCAAAGGCCGAGAGCTCAATCCCCAGTCCTGGAGAAACAAAACAAAACACACACACATAAAATATTCTATCTTTTTTGTTGGGGGTAGGGCTGATTTTTTGAGACAGGGTCCCTCGATGTAGTCCAGGCTCACCTTGAACTTACTATGGAGCCCAGGATAGCCTCGAACTCCTGGTGATCCTCCTGCCTCAGCCTCCCAAAGTGCTGGGATGACAGGTGTGTGCCACCATGCCTGGCTCAAATGTGTTGTCATTTGAAAGCGAATATTTTAGATTAAAGTGTATGAAATTGTTTTGTTCAGCAGGGTGAGAGGAGTCATAATGTATCTTCTTTGGGTGACTCAAAAATTATGAAGAGCTGGGCATGGTGGCACAAGACTGTAATCTCAGCACTCGAGAGGCTGAGGCACAAGGATCACCATGAGTTCTAGGCCAGCCTGGGCTACATAGTGAGACCCTGCCTCAACGCCACCCCTGCCCCAAAATATGAAGGTTGTTTTACAGTTGCTGTGGGCCCATTTGTGCTCACATTCGTGTTCCTGCTTGATGCCCTGACAGGATCTTGTTGCCCTGGCTTTGGTGTGTGCGCAGGGGGGATACACATAACGTAAGAGTTACTGTTTGAACTGTTTCACAGTGCACAGCCAGGGGCGTGCCACGGTACACTTACCATGTTGTACCACCACCACCTCTGAGTAGTCACAAAGCACTCTCATTGCCACCAAGGGTAATGCCCGGGAAGCAGTCACTCCTCACCGCCCTGCTCCGGGCCTGGCAGCCAGCAGTCTTGTAGTCTCCATGGATTGACCTTTTCTGGACATTGCATGTGAAGGGAGCTGCACACCACATGGCCTTTTGTGACTGGCTTTAGTATGTTTTCCAGGTTCACTCAGGTTGCACGTGGCTAAGCGCGTCATTCCCCGTGTATGTGGGGGGCAGTCGGTTCCTTCTCGCGCTCAACAGTGTCTTGCTGAGCAGCCGTGCTGGGCCCTGCTCGTCCCTGTGCACCTCCTGCCTGTGCCTGCCTTCCTCCCTCAGACTGTCAGCGGGGCCCGGCGTGTGCAGCCCTGCCCGCAGCAGCTTTCTCTCGTCACCACGTTGCACCTTCGGTGGGACAGATCTTTCTTTTCTTGACAGTACTTCTAGATCTTGCAACCCTATCTTCCCCTTTACTCTCAAACTCTTAAAAAGAGTCATCTGTTTTTGACCTTGACTTTTACCTTCCA